CTGGCGGCGGGCGAGGCGGGGGCTGCTCCTGGTCTCCTCCCTCCTCCGGACGGCTTCGTTCGCCGGCCGGCGGGGCGAGCGGGGACCGTGCGGCTCTTTGGAGGTGGGGAAGTAAGTCGGAGCTCCGCCGCGCGCCACCTGGGCGCGTCCGGGGTCGCCTCGGGGTCCCCTCCCCACCTTGTCTTCATCCGTACGAATAAGGAACCTGCCCTCGAGGATGGGGAGGCGAACCTTCCCGGCGCCGCCTGCCTTCCGTCTCGTATCTTAAACCGAAGGCGCTGTATTTTATTCGGCTTCTCGGTTAGCAACTAGAAAGAACTAGGGAACTTTGCTCGGGTGGCAAGCTTGCTCTTTGTCTTGGGCAACTAAGGGCAATGCTTTATCTTTGCTAAAGGAAGGATTCCACAGAAATGCTGACCATCCCATCTCTCCGCTTGTGGGGCTTAAGGGCCGGAGAGCTTTTGTGGCTCTGCAGAATCGCAGTTGGCCCATTATGTGAAATTGCTCCAAGTCCAGCTTCCTCCGGTTGTTTTCTTGCCAATCAGGTAGAAGTGGTTTGTCATCCTTGTTCTGGGATTTTTTTCTCCCCAATTTACAGAGCTGCATTTTCCTAATATGAAAATACATACATGCATGTCTGTGTCACCCTTACAGTTAACTGGTGCACATACAGGAGACCTATGAAGCTGCCTGTGAATGCACGTACCTTTTGGATGCACGAATTTTATTTTAATATGTTTGGTCAAGTTTTTAGGCTGTGCTTATCTTAGGTAGGTCTGAAGTTCTATATTGTAAAGATGATTTTCCATTATTATTACAATTCATTTTGAACCCAGGCTGGTCATATAATTAGTAATGTTATTTTTCATTTGTAATATTAGTTTTGTTATATGACATGAAGTTCCTGGGCTATAAAGTCTCTTTGTGTGTGTAAAGTTCCCCTGAATAATAACCTCCCTAAGCAAGAGGAATCCATGCAGGAAAACAAAGTTCTGTGAACTTCCCAGATGATGTTTTAAAATAGGTCCATAATTATTGCAAAAGAAGGGGAGGGAATACTTCCTTGACAGGGGAAAGAGAGGGGGAGAGGGAGTATCTGCAGTGATATTGCACTATGTGTAAACTACTGGAAAGATATGCACTCCCTTGAAGAATGATCAGCGCTATAAAGCAGAGAAGTCTATGCACAGGAGAATGTGGTATTGATGGAGATAAATACCTTTGATTGGGCCTAAATGGCACAATCTGACTATATTCTTGTATGCCACTGTTGGATTTGTCTCATGCTACGAATCATCTGACTTCAGGTGTCGTTGGCTGGGAGCATTATCAAACTTCTCAAGAAAGTTGTTCTCCCTGTTTTCTTCCTCTTCCTTCTCTGTGATTGAGAAGCACAGCTCTGTTGCTTATTTAGCGTGCATTTTGTGGTTTTGCCGGCATCACTTAAGGAGATATCCACTCTGTAGCGGCATGGAAGCAGGAGTTCTGTTCAGCAGTTGGAAGCAGCTAGATCAGCCTTCAGCTTCCATAATGTCCAGCCAGGTTTGATCTACCCATTTAGAGGACACCATGTTGGAGAAGGCTGCCTAGGTGATGGATCAAGTCAGTGTTGATTCTTAGCAATCACGTTCTCTCCAAAATGATCTGTCTTCAATTTGGCCTTTTAAGTCTCTCAGTGGTGCATTGATTACTGTCATAATCAGATCCCATCACTACCCGGGTAGTGTCAGGTTAAAGTATCCCCTGGATACATGGATAGATGTGCCTCATTTTGAACTTGTGGCTTTTTGGCTGAGTGACTAGAATCCAAAGAACTGGGTAATGGATTGGATGCCCCAAGACGTCTTTGGGCTTATGTTGGTTCTAGAAGTACACTTCCTGTTGTATAGCAAACTACTCTTCATACTGAGGAGGACTTGAAACCTAAAATTCCTAAGATCTATCAAGTGGGTGGAATTAGTATTACCCTGATGTAGCTGAATTCATTAGCTGACAGGGCTAATGAATTTGTTCTCTGTAAGGGCAAGGACTCTCCTTACTTCCTGAATGCTACATGATTGGAAGAGTTTTGAATTCATTTTTCCATGAAAGGGCTGTCTCATACTTACCCCAAATATCACAATCATTCAGCTTGTCTTTGTTGGACAAACCAGGTATAGAGAATCTGAATCCATCCAGACTATCTGAATCCCTTTAGTACTTTATTGCCACATTGCTTAGCACAGTGTTTCTCAACCTCAGCAACTTTAAGATGTGTGGACTTCAACTCCCAGAATTCTCTAGCTGGAATTCCCCATGCTGGCTGGTGGATTCTGGAAGTTGAAGTCCACACTTCTTAAAGTTGCTGAGGTTGAAAAACATTGGCTTAGCAGACAGGAGTTATAATGGATAGCCCATTTCTTAAAGAACATGGGTATCCTTTGTTGTTCAGCTTCCTGAGATTAAAAAAAAACCTACAACATGAAAAACAAAAGGTATTTGTTAGGTTTTCCTGATAACATATGATTGGCTAGTACTATATGAACCTAGATTTGTTCCAAGAGGATTAATAACAATACATTTTCTGTTTGTTGTCCTGACAACTGTGACTCCACTGAGATGTTAATTCGCACAGATTGATCCAATTTCAGGATTAGCTCATCAGTACAAAGAAGTAGGAAATAATATCTGGGATCAGTGGCATGGGATTCACTAAAAGGAACCCCTTTCCAAATTGTTGGGGCACTGGATGCATTCTGAGGTCACATTCAGTTCTTAGCAGAAGATGCTGGAAATGGTAGTTCATCATCAGGAAGGGTTAGAGTTAGAATGGAAAGTTCAAGCTTCCTGTCTCCTCTCCAACAAGACTACCAAATCTATGTATTTTTTTTAAAAGGTGGTGCAGACCAGGGTTCTTACATTTTGCCTTGAAGGAGACTCCTCACCTGAGATTAATCACCTGCTGTGGTGTAGAAGATGGAATATTTCTTTAAAGATCTGGGCTGCAACAATCCACTCAACCACTAACAGGCAGCAAAGAGTTAGAATCTCCATCTCTTTTTCTTGAAGGACTGTGCAAAAGTTACTGGGTTTAAGCATTCCTAAGATCCATCAAGTGGGTGGAATTAGTATTACCCTGATGTAGCTGAATTCATTAGCTGACAGGGCTTCTAACATACTTCATCTGCCATGGTCCCAGCTAAGAATGTTGTGAGAACAGGATGTCTATGAACCCAGCTTTTGGCTTCCTGTACTTTATCCTTATGACAGTGAACTGAGCTTTGGTGTGATATTCCAACTGGCTCAGTATGTAATCCAGAAGAAGTATTAAATCTGCAGTAGGATTCCTTGCACCCTTCTCTTGCCATCTTACTCTTTATCATAGTGGGGAAAATCAGCTTACTCTTCATCAGTCTCTTTTTCCTACAAATATAGTTGCCGAAGCAACAAAGGAGTCAACTAATTGTATGCACTGAAAATGAAATGCCATGAGGAGTGTACGATCATGCATATGAAAATAGCTTTAGCTCTTTTGAATCTTGGGATAACCAATGTTAGCTTACGGACTCTCTTGCGCTTTAAAGACCAGGTAGCAATCTCAGAATTTCCACTGTAGTCTGGATTCTCAGTATGCAACATTTCCTTGGGATTCTGAAGGTAGAGGAAGTTGCTTTTCTTTGCAAAGATGTGATGCTGGATCTGCACTGCCGAAAAGTTGGGCCTTGATGTAAACGGGTGCAAATTGTAACTGGCGAGGGCTAGGCAGAGCATGGGTGTATTTCAGTGTATTCACTGGGAACATATCTAGCAACAATACTGGGGATTTTCTTTTTTCCATGCATGGCTATTCAGTTAAAAGCTTCAGGAGCTTTTATTTAATTCTAGTAGAGCAATTGGTTTAAGTGTGTCTCTTTTCATAATACAGCAGTCTTGCATTTCAGAGAACTACGTTTATGGATACCTAAAAGCAAGCTCTTTTTCCAAGAAATACCCAAGCTTAAACTAGAGAGCATGTGCAATTCTTGGCTTTCATATTTGGCTGTTATAGGCAGGGCTACCCCTAGTTTTTTGTAAGCCCAACTATTATGGTGTCCCTTTTGTTGTTGCCTAATTTTATTTGAACCACCCGCTACTTGTTAAAAACTTACTTCTTATCCTTTTGGTTCTTCTTTCCTTTGGGCTAAAATATTATAAAATAGAAATTGGAGGTTGGTTGATGAGAGTGATTAAGACTGGCACTTGATTGAAATAAGCACGGGTGAGAATAAATGGAATGCTTAGCTAGTGGTTCAAGATTAGGCATAGACTGAGGCAAGATATTGGATGTCCCTTGGTTGTTTAATGTATTTTTGGGTAAATGTATAAGAAATGGTTCTGGTGATATTAAAGGTGTGTTAGTTGAGGTTATGAATGTTTGTGTACTTTGGTATGCAGATGTTGCTGTACTGTTGGCTGAGAGCCCAAAATGATTTGCCACAAATGTTTCACAGATTGTATGATAGTGCCTCTGTATGGATCTGAAAATTAATGCATTAAAGACCAAGGTAATTGTGTTTGAA